GATGATGATGATGATGATGATGATGATGATGATGATGATGATGATGATGATGACCTTGAGCCTGTTGCTTACCGGCTCTGATGTTTTGACCATTCTAACAAGTTCTGATAGACGACCCTCAAACCCAGGAGCAAATGCACTCGGATCAATGGTAACAAAACACTGACCCTGCGAATTGTATATATACACAAATAATAATGTCAGTCATAATATTAGAAAGGAAAAAAGGTAGCATTGCTATCTAGTGACAAAATGTATTGAGTTTTAAAATATTACAGAGATTCCAAAGGTCCTAAGTAAGACAGCTTCATGTTGATCAGTAGTTGTTAAAGATAAGATATACGTTAGGAAAAAAAATGTCTTGCATAGTCTAGCTCATAGCAGTCGTCAGTGGGCATCTCATGTACGTCAATTACAGAGACAACAGACAGGAGCGCTTCGTTGTCGCACGCAGGAGACCCGAGCTCGATTCCCGAGTGGAGAGAAATGTACATTGAGTGTTTTGGTCATTTTGCCGGCTTGGCAATGACCTAAATTATGTCAATGAGGGTGTAAACAAACCTGCATGTTAAAACATGAGATAACGAATATGTATATAGATCAGAATAACTACTATTTTTCACTTTCAAAGATCACGACATCATAATGCCCCAAACTAAATATTCAACTAAATCGCCATATTCTCTTTTCATATTATGTTTCTTTAATGTTCAATGTGTCTACTTCGCGGATTAGGCATCACACTCTTATTTCAAAGAATTCAAATTGATTGACACCGTTATATTCACTGCTTGTTCAGTTGTCTGCTTCTACAGTCTGTACTACAAACTGACTACAGGTAACTAAAGTACAATTTTGCAGTACAAAGAATGCTTTATGTTCCTAACAGTTCATAAGTGAATGTCTGGCACTGGGCAGTTCATCTGCAGAGGACAAGAAACATTGAAGAGAAATAGAACAAATAAGAGTCAACATGATGTGTGCCTTTTGCTCTTGATGCGAGACTAATTCTGGCAGAAAAGAGTTTGTCATATTTTTAGCATTTTAAAGCTACATGTCTCAACATAATACATGCATAATCAAATTCATGCACAGATGGGCAGTTCTCTACTAAACAAAGAGCTCAGTACCAAGTTAGCCTCGCCCTGAAAATCAGTATTCGTCCAAAACCTGACACCAGTTCCAAAGTTTGACCCACTCAGGATGCCACAGAACAACTCCACCATCATGCCAAATCCAAAGCCTTTATACCCGCCTGGTCAGGGAATAAAGAGAGATTTTAGATAGGCGAGCCTTTCACATCGGGGAATGCTTCAATAAATTATTTATTCTATTGATGATGTCAGGTGTTTTGCACCGTAGAAACATAAATCATATCTTCTCATTCACATATCAGCAGACTTCGAATTGAAGGCAAAGTTCTTGAGGAGAGGTAACAAACATACAATTGTGTACAAGCATCTAGCGGATCTGCTCTTATGGTAGAATGATACTAAACATTGTTCAATTTCGTATGTCCGCGTAAAAAAGATTCTAGCTGATTCAGTAATTTACCTACGCCCACAAAACTTGGCATGGCACTTCTTCAGGCAAGGGACCAATAAAAATGTTTCAAGAAATCTTGATAACTATGATGATATTTTTTTGTCCCAAAATATATTATTTCTTTGTGTGTATGTGTGTGTGCGTGTGTGTG